GAGAGAGAGAGAGAGAGAGAGAGAGAGAGAGAGAGAGAGAGAGAGAGAGAGAGAGAGAGCATAGCGCCCGTGTGTCGAAGCAGGTGTGTGTGTGGACAGCGCACGCCAGAGAGAGAGAGAGAGAGAGAGAGAGAGAGAGAGAGAGTTACGTGACAGTTACAAGGCACACCTCGAATACAAGGTACGTACCTCGTATTCGAGTGTACCTTCTATTCAAAAATTTAACAGCGATTTCTTAGAACCCGTTTTTCGGAGGTAACTTGAATACAAGGTACGTACCTTGTTTTCGGGTTAAGACGGTAGTGGGCAAACCAAACAGCGGGCAGCCAACCAGATCAGGTATTCTTTTGAGTCGCAAACAAGACGACTTCCCTTGTGCCCCGCCATGCTATCTTTTGGGACGTTCTCGGAACCGTCTTTCCTCTCTTATCCCAGGCAGGCCTCCACACTGCGGTTTCCATTACGCTGCTGAAAGCTGAGTGCGAACTGTGCATGCATGCGTGCTCTACTCCCATGAGCTGTCTTTACTCTCAAAACAGGGTAGCGCGCTCTCTCGCACCTCACCAAAAGAGGACTCTCAAGTGGAACGCTTCTCACGGAAAAAATAAAATTAAAAAAAATGGTTCTCGACTTCTCATTGATTGTTTTCCTTGCAATGAAGCAATGACATATTTTTCGGAGTTTTTTGAACTTTTTCTCTGTTACTTTTACTCAGGCAATGCTGTGTTTTCAAATGACTACTTGTCTGTGACTGCAGGTGGTTGAGGATACGCTGAACAACTTGTTCCGCGTGAAGCGTGAAATGTCAGGACAGCTGGTGTAGGGTGAACGATGCAGATGACCTAATATTCTATTTCTCTCTTTTCTCCTTCAGCCCATCATTTCCCCATTCCCATTCTCTACCCATCACTACTTATCTGTAAAACTGGTTGTCGGAGAGCTCTGTCAATGCCAGATCTGCACTTATGCGGAGCAAGGAGTAGGAATGAACCTACGGGCAGTTGGACGTGTACTACGTACGCACCAGGCGCGGTGCATGGGTGCATGAGTGTATAGTACTGTATACAGGAAGGCAAGGAGGGAAGAAGAAGAAGAAGAACAGCAACAAGAATAGGAAGAATGTCAAAAAGGCAAGTTTCCTCAGCAAGGAGAAGCTCTCTTTTTGGTCCATGGATTTTTCCTATTGGGACCTTGAGGATAGGTGGTGTCTCTATCTCATCTCTGGAGTAAGTGAAACGGATGTATATTTTCAATTATTATTTTGTCAGAGAGACACAGCAATTACCTCCCTTTGCATAGCAAAGTTACATAGGAATGATAGAGAGCAGAAGAGAAGGGAGGTGAGAAATGAGATAGGAGATGAAATAGGATTAGTTAACAACACAAGGTTGAGTGCATATGACGTCGTCGAATGAACTTGTTGTTGTCTGGTCGATGTGCAACAGACCTGCTGTCGGGTCAGCGCGTCAGACGGACCTGTTATCTGGTCAAAAGACCTGTTGACTGGTCAAACAACTTGCAATCCGTCGAACGATCCTGTTCTCCGGTCAAAGGGTCCGAGTAGCGGTGACCTGTCTTCTGGTCAAACTGACGTGTTGTTTGGTCGAGCATAGTCGTTGTGTAGTCAAACGGACGTCTCGTCCGTTGAAGTGTTCCTGTCGTCTGCAGGACATTAGCAACAACTCTTTGGTCAAACCAATCTGACTTGGTCGGTCAGAACGAGCTGTTTGGTCAACCAGACCTGATTTGGTCTGGATGCACCTGACCTGTTTTCTGGTTTAAATTACCTATTCTTTGGTCAAGAATAGCAGTTGTCTGGTCAACACACACACCCGGGATCTGGTCAAACGACCTGTGGTCCGGTCGACCAATCCTGTTATCTGGTCAAATGGTCTGAATAGACCTGCCCTGTCTTCGTGTCAAACTTGTTGTCTGGTCAAGCATAGCAGTTTGTCCGGTCAAATTGTCCGAATAGACCTGACCTGTCGTACGGTCAAACTAACCTCCTGTTTGGTCAAACATAACAGTTGTCGTCTGGTCAAACGGACCTATTGTCTGAGCAAGCAGCAGGTTGTTTGCTTAAACAGATCTGACCTTGGTTTGTGCCCTGCCCATCGTGGCGCTCTGCCTGAGCGCTAGACTTGCCGCGAGGGCCGAACGGCTCGCCCTTCAACTGTTCAATATTGTGAAGGAGATTTCCTTCACGACACTTACATTTCCGACACTGGAGTGTCATGCGCAATGCTGAAGCCGTGGAGGGTTGGCCGACACCCACCTGTTTGGTAAGGTGGACCTCGTTTGGCCAAGCGGCCAAATGAATCTTTTGCCTGAGGCTACGAGCCTGGCCAGTTTTCTGGTCCGAGCTAACCTGTCGTATGCCAGACAAGGGTGAATACCTGTTTGATGGCGCTGACCTGACTTTGCCTGTGGTCAAAACCACCACCTGTTTTGTAAAGCAGAGCTGCTGGTTGGTCAAAGGTCAAACAGACTGGTTGCATGGGGCAAAATGGCTGTGACGTCTGTGGTCGGCTTGCACTGCTGTTTGCAGACGTCATCCCTTCTGTAAGGCGAAGTGAGAAAAGACGAGTTTGGAATATGGGAGTAGAAGTAGTATTTAACAAAAATAGAAAAGATTAAAAAAAAAAAAAAAAAAAAAAAGATAAAAAGTGTTGAAAAGGGAGGGTGGTTGTATAACTTGTATTTGTAATGTCCGCATTGTCCGGGAAAAATGGCTGCAGGAAAGTTGGGTCAAAACGTCTGGTCAAAATGACAGCGAGCAACTCTCGCAATTCTCAGGTGGACTTGCTCCGGGTCTGAACTGAAGACAAGTTTTTTGCTGAGTATTTTTCTGCAGACTGCACTTTGCTTCCCTCCATTCGTTCATTTCATAAAGCTCCTTCAGAATTTGTCTGGTTGCTGGCTTGCAATCACTATTCATTGCTCGCGGCCACAGTCGAAAAGAAAAACTGTGTTCTCCTA